CGTCAAAGACATGAACTTATACCTGTTCGTTATAGTTAAAACATGCGTTAGATCGAGAAAAATTATGTTTAAAGTTTAATATTTATCTCGAATTGATTTTAAAAAATATAACGTACTTGTACACTCCATGGGTCATCATGAGATCACATCCAGAACATTTGAACTGAGAATGGTCTGGTATAACCTTCTTATTGCAGTCAGTGCACCCCAAGTAACACCAATCCGGTGTATTCTCAATAGAAGAAATCTCGGCAAGAATATAGTAAGCTCCAAGCTTTTTATTTAGGCAGAAATATATAAATTAGATATAAAATGCCGTGAATGGACAGAATATTAAATATTTAAAATATCAAGGTGGTGGATTTCACCTTTGTTGTATCAAGAAGAGTCTTTAGGGGGTGATTTTCACAGGACCAACATCATCTTCATTCTCCCCAAGTAACATCAAAGCGGTGGAAGCACTTGCATCATCAACTTGCATCGGCAAGCTGCTCGAAAATAACCTTATGAGTACATTCCTCCCAAAAAAGACACGAAGAAACTTTAGATTAGAAAACGCACCTAGCTCGGAAATGATTAACTTCATCAGAGTTTCCATCGAAAATCATCTTGGTGACATGAAATGAGGTTGAAACTGTCACAACACCCAACACCTGAAAAAAATCAATTTAATTTTTTTTCAAAATTGCTCTATGCAATATTATAAATAAAGAAATGAATCGTATAAGAAACACGCTTTAAGGTTTTTATCTTACCCCTATACCGCTTGGGGCGACAAAAGCTTAGGAGCATAATAAAAGGTCCCGGAACATCCTGGGTCAAACAATTAAGAAACTTCTCGACATATTCGCCCCATAAGGTGCATGCTAAACGGTTGCCTCTGCAATTTTTATTTCACTATCATATTATTTTTTCAAATAGTTAATCTTATGTAGTTGCTTTATAAATAAAGTTTCATACTCATGATCCTCAAGTGTTAACTCCAGTAATTTCTCTTCTTCGCCTCTTTTGATGTGTGTTTGAACTTTCGAACGCCCCACAATTTTTCCAATCACATTTGCAAGGTTTGGAAAAGTTTTTTAAACTTTTTATTATATACTAATTGTATGTCAAACTTTAAAATCGTACTTGGAATCGTCTTTAAAAAAATCACTTTCAAAAAATCACTTTAAAAAAATGTATTTACCGATGAGAAGTTGATCGTTTAAACAGGGTTGTGCTTGAATGCTCGAAAAAGATTTCAAATCAAACTTCATTTTGGGAAAGTCTCTTTCGCTCAAAGTTTTCACTTCGGTCTTGGTGTAAAACACCAACAAAGATTTGTGAGAGGTTGTCTTGCATAATTGGTAATTGTCGTGAACCAAAACATTTTGAATTGCAAAGACGCCATCTTCCACAATTTGGTTTTCAAATTTCTTCTTTTCGGGTCTTTTAATATGAGCATAAATCCTTGTGTCCTGTAAGAAATGATAAGAATTAATGAAATGAAATAATTAGAACCGATGATTAGAAGTACGTGAATATTTCAAAATAGAGTTGGAAAGAAAAAAAATACATGTTCGTCATGGAAGATGACTTCCATGGAATCGTCTCCCTTCGCCCAAGCCGGAACGTGGTAAACACGTATAGCGCGCAACTTTAGGATCCATGCGTTGCTAGTATTATCAATTTCGTCAAGAGAATTCCACATCGCTCTTTGTGTTGTTTTGGACATCCTTACACTTTAGACACACTTTAGACTATGCAAATGAAGTGCTTAGAATGTGCAAGGTGAAGTGGTATAAATACCGTCTCATAAATCAAAACTCAACTAATGCATTAAATACCCTCCTACTTTAAAGATTTATAAAATCTATTAATTTAATTTGTAAGAGACATAAAGGTATTGGGAGTGTAAAGCATGCAACCTCTTCCCTAGAAAGGTTGCTCACGTGTTTCAAGAAACTTTGCAGACTACCTTTCGGCCCAGGGACAGGAGCTCAAGAGATTTTGCAGGATTAATTTTCGGCCCAGGGACAGCAGCCCAATAACAGAGAACCGGCCCATTACTTTATGGCGGGAACACTGTAGTAATCCTCCTCACACCATTGTATAGATAGAGATTTCACAAACGATAAGACACAACCATCATAAAGATTAAAAAGTGATTAACTTTTGTATAGAGAAGATAAATTATGTGAAATATACAATTTTATGACTTTTTATTTAGGTATAAATAAAAAATATTTTCCACGTGTGTCAATCCATAAATTAAATCTTTAATACATAGTATTTTAAATTATACTCCATATTTTAATGAAAATTGTTATAAAAAAAGAAAAAATGATTTCATCATAAAATAAATTTAAATCCTTAATACGGAGTATTTTAAATTATACTCCATATTTTAATAAAAATTAAAATAAAACTAATGTATTTAAAACCTTAATAATTTTAAATTATATTCCATATTTTAATGAAAATTAAAAATAAAACTAACGTATTTAAAAAACTGTGTCAAAAATGCTACTAGTAATAAATAACTATAGATGATTATTTTATCAATTAATCAATCAAAAATATAAATAAATAAAAAAAATTATGACTTAAATATAACATTATTTTGAATCAAGTATTATTATTGACAAACAAGTATAAATTGATGAAAAATGCTAGAGTGCCCCATATTGAATCTTATCATAGGTGCACCCAAACTTCACATAAATAATTATCATATGTGTCATCTGTGCAAAGCTTGATCACACTTTTAAATGGTGAAAAGTATAACATTATTTTGTATCGAGAGTAATATAATTGAAAAATATGCATAAATGGATAAAAATGTTAGGATGCCTCCAATAAGGTGTTGTCATAGTGTACTCAAACTTCGCACAAATGATATCATCTTTGTCATAGAGATGATTGTGTTATCTATAGGAGGCACTCATTTGACGTAGCATGACCATCCTATATATATATGTAAAAGAGGGTTTCAAAGTTGTGGTGACGACACGTGTCATGCCACACGTGCATACTAATGACACGTGTCCCGCCACGCGTATATCACATGACACATGTACGTCCATCCATGCATGTGAGTTAATTTTGTATTAAATAATTCGTATTTTTATTTTTTATAAACTCTTCACTTTCCAACAATAAAAAACTATTATTTTTATTAACTTTTTATAAATTCTTCACTTTCTGACTATGTTAAAACCAATTTATTGTTTTGACGTATCTTAAAAATATATGCACGATTATTTTATAATTTTAGAAAACTTATGTATATAATTTATTGATTAAAAAGATGTTGCTTATAATTTTTAAAATTATCCATCATATCAAAAAAAAACTAATTACATATAAATTTTATCACACGTGCATCTTTATTAAATTCATAACATATTTTAGTTGTTTTTCTTATTACATTACTTATTTTACTATATTTTTTTCAGCAAACTAAACAAAGTAAAAATTTAATTGAAGGATTACAAGTGGCACATACAAATATGCATTATCTAATGATGTGACATTCCTTAATTGATCTATTCGAGATTTTTATATTAATTTTTATTAATTAAAACAATTTTCAT